ACTGAAAATATCTGGTCAAACCTACATAAAGTGCATTATTTTGGTTGTACTTGATGTTGTCAGCTATGTTTGTTGTTTGGTAAGTGTCGCTGGCAGCGTCACTTTGCTTGCCGCTCGTATTAAAGCATGATGAACAAGCCTGGACTTGTTGGTCAGTATTTTCACTTGGCCCGCATTCCTTCTGCTGCAGAGCTGGAGCACCGATGGAAAGACGAGGAAGGCCTTTCTCCACACTCTCAAAACTACCAATGTGGAAGTCCCCAGGTGCAGAGTGGACAGGAGTACGTTCCAAACTATCTATATGTTGCCCTGTGTTCCGGGATCTAGGAAACAGGGAAGGCAAATGCATTGACCAGATGGTAGGTGCGCCTCGGAAGATTTTCTCCACAATTCCAAGCAGTGCGAACACCACTACGCCAGCTACGATAGCTCTATTTAACATGGCGGTAGTGATGGTGACATCTGTCAAGTTTACTATGATGGAGTCCTCTGTGGACTGATAAAAGGACAACTGTGACATGACCTGCACAGCGACCATGGAATAACTAACACAGGCAAACAAGCAGGTGATGTGACGCGATTCGGTGAAATTGCCCTTATGAGAGGGTATGGTGGCAGAGATCCACAGAGAGCCATTCTTGAAGTAGTAGGTGATGTCGTTGAATGTGCATACCGGCGGTGCAGTAGACAGCACCAAGGGAATGATGGCAGTGACTCTTGAGTCTGATGATGACATACCACTGCTGCTAGCAACAAGGCCAGAAGTGTAAAGATCCTGGGTCTTGGTATCCAGGGCATGGATTTTCTTGATTTCACTGGAATAAACACGGCAAAGTGCAGAAAAACATTATCGAAATTTGAATGTCATCAGAGTTGTAATGACTTGAGTCAATGACTCAACTTCAGTCTGAATGCTTTGAAAAAACCAAGACATTTCACTATATAGTCAGAAACGGTTAAAATGTTACAATTTGATTTTGAAGTCTTTGTGATAGGAAGGCCAGCAAGAAAATAATACTTCACTTGTAATATCAGCATATAATCTACCCCAAACTATGCCTTTTTGCTTTCCTTTGAAATCCCAACTCCTCTATCGGATGATTTCCAAATACCTATGATTCACACTGATTTGAATCGACTCAGATAGGCACTGTGACCCAACATTACTACATTGTCTTGATCTACTGATTTGGCTCGACCAAACTTACTTCCCTAAAACGACTCGCCTTGAATCACAAAATTCAGAGGCTCTGGCATGTCACTTTTTTACACTTAGCCGCAACAAACATTAATAGCAGAAATTATCATCTGCTTGCCACAGTCATGGACTTTAATAAAATATACTTTGATTGATGCCTTAATTTAGATTTTGTTTTAAATAAACCATACTTAAATTTCCAACAACCTTGCAATATTTGAGATCAATGGACCTCTTAAATTGTACAATTAGTGTATGACTAATGGCCTGACTGTCACACTACTATTTTCACTCTTTGCATAAACTAATTCTTTTGATTTCACTTTAGTGTCATTGGCGCTTCATCACTCTACAGGAACTCAAAATGAAGCCAACTTACATTTTACATGCCCTGCAAGTGGTTCCTCGCCGGCAAGCTCCGATGTTGGAAGATGGTAGCATCCCGGAGTTGAATTCACTGCTCGCTGATGGGTACTTCATCTCCACGGCTACGAGCTTACCGATGGAGCGAGGGGTTGTCACAGTCTTCTGCTCTGAAGTTTTTCTGAAAACCAGATCAAAAGACAGCCTGTCGGAAAAGTTTCAAAGAAAAACAAGAATCAAAGTCAATTACTTTTTTTGGCACATGGACATTTTTATCACTTAAGAAGTATTGCAATACAACTGAGTGGAGACATGCAGATTCATTTCAATTTATTTACCACTTGCTGAAGCCAAATGTTCCTTGGAGTCTCATCAGACGTGTGCTTTTGTTTGCACAAGGTGACTTGTGGAATGCACACCAACGTAGGAATGAACTCCAATGTGAACGGTAAGCATAATCTACATGTATGACGTAGGAGCGTTCCTTTCTGGCCCTATCCCCTTGGATGTTATGAGGAGTTGGTGGGCGGGAACGCTTGCTCTGCAATGAAGAAAAAGACAAACAGTTGATGAAAGAAATTTGAGTCATGGAGGTAGAGCACAGAGCCAAACAAAGGAACCTAAGTCAATTGTTGGTTTCGGTTACACAGTTTGTACCTTGCGTGCTTGTCTTACATCTTGCAGAAAGGCGAAGAGCAGGAGCAGTCCGAAACCAATGGCAATTGGGACTGCGCTGATAAAGACGATATCAAACACGTCAACTGTTGACGGACAGTCTTCAGGCAGGGTAGAGATGGAGAGACTACCCTGGGAGGGACCTGAGATGGTACCAAGGGTCTGGGAGCTGTAGGACAAACGAACAAAGCTGCGAAATTCAAGTTCAAGCCTACTACTTGATTTCTGCTTAGTTATGATCGTTGGGATACACAGATTCTTAAATACCATATCTTTTGGACCAAAGTTTAGGTATGGAATTACCTTATGGCCCTATTAAGACTAGTGTTAGTTAATTAAGACTTGATAGACTTGGCAAACATCAGCAAAGTTTAGATTGATGTTTGATTTTATTCTGTCATAGAATAAAAAAACAACAACGACAACAAAAACGTGGAGGACAATGGGCAACTAAAAATGAGAAAATGAGATATAAGTTACACATATGTAAGGCCTTGTACAAGGCATGATGCTAACTGCACAAAGTCCAAGTTGTATGGTTGCACTACTAAAAGTGCGCCCATAGAAAATAGTGCAAATAGGCACTGCCTGGTGCCTCTCAGAAACAGGTTGGCCTTGCATGCTTTACTGGAAATTCAAGAAATATTGCCATAAGTTCAGCTTTCTTTTGATTTCATGAGGGTTAATTTTTTCGCCCTTCCCAAATCACCCCGGATAGTAGTCAAACTATGTAGCCGCCCACCTCTATGCAAACTAGGCCGACATGGCACAATGTATATGGAGGCATTTGAGAATGAAATACAGAGTTGGATGCCACAAGTTCCGTATTCATAGTTTTAGAAATAGGCCCTATCTCTGTGATAGGCATAAGTCCCGATTATGGCACCTCTCCTATATTAAATCTGTGGAATCACAAAATGTTAATGAACTCATGTGCAGAATTCTACATGTACTAATATACTGGAATGTACTCTTGACACAATTCCGTCCCCAAGGCTTCATTTCTTGCTCTTATGTGCATCAGCTGCAACTTTATAAATTACAATTCTGGTTACCATGGGCGTAAATTGGGGAGGGGGGTGTGAGGAGTACTGAATCACTGTTCCCAGAAAGAGTTCCACGAACAGACGCCATGTGATTATGTATAGCCCCCAGAAAGCAAAAACATGTCCAGAAAAGTTCAATTTAGGAGGGAAAATACCAAGTTGTTTAGGCCTAAAGTACTAAGAAAACACCGAATGTTCAGACCAGTCTCATAGGGTTTGTGCACAAGGTGTAGAGCGGCGTCCGCATAATTGTACATAGTCTAAATTATTACCAACACGTAGGGAAAAAAAGAAGCACTATGCTTTTTGGCTTTCCCTATTTACACAAACAGTGGTTCAGACTGGAAACATACATGTAAGACAGGAGACATGAGACAACACAATATGATACACTGGCAGGATAGAAAACATTTAAAGGTAGACGTGCTAGCTGTTGAGATAAGACCTTCAAAGAATGGAAGTAGGTTGGCATGATTACATGATCTGATTTTTATTATACAAGCTAATAAGGTACGTAGGTTTTGAGTTTCCTATTAAATGTATTAAGCGTTGAGAGACTTGTCAGATCTGTATTACGGTTGTTCCAAAAGGACACACAGCGTGAGATAAGACTATCTTTGGAAACAGACGTACAGTTGTAATTAACATAATAGTTGCCCCTAGATGGAACTCTTTCCAGTTCCCAGTTCCCGATCGAAATAAAAGATCGAAATAAAAATAACTCGCTCCTTAGTCCTACTGTCATTTGGTGTCAGTGCCCCCGCTTTCCAAATTTCCATGGCCGAGCAAGTTATCCCTTCTCGGCAATCCCCCTCCCTTTTCCCGGCACAAAATTACGCCACTGTTTGTTACAGTTCTCTTACCTCACAGTCTTGAAGACCAGAGCCCAAAGAAGTACGGCAATTGTCAGGCAAAGCCGCATTGATTTCGTAAATCTCTCGAAGAAGAAAGGTGTCCACGCTGAAAGTACAGTAGGATAAACACACTTGACTTTTCTATGGTCCACGCTCATTTTTATATCAAAGGCCGGACAGCAACGAGCGGTGACGTGACAATGGTTTTCTTTGACAAAAACGGACTCTTTCACTCTCTAATGGGACACTTTCTGCTGATGACTGATCCCTGTTGAATACTGTAACTAGGAAACAAATATCGTATTTTTGTTTGAAGTTACTGAGTTCTGTTAAATGCGATTGAATTTCGTAGAGTTCGTCGTACGACTCTTTGGGCATTATGTAACAAGTAAACTTTTGACAGGGAATTGTGGTGACAGAAGGTTCTAACCGACGAACAGAGGGGGCTATTTTGCGCGTGAGCCACATGTACATATTATCTGGTTTGTAAGTGATTTCGTCACAAAGGCGGACGCGCCACGATCTGTAGGCTCCCATTGGATGATCGCTGAAGATGCGCATTGACTTCCGGTTCCATGGTTCCATGGTTCCATGTAAAGGGTGATAAAAGCATGTATGGTATAAACCGAAGTGACATAACACTTACGTACCGGATAAACGCATGTCTGTGTTGCGAGCAGAGCTGTATTATACGGCTCTGCGTGCCAGCATTGGCTCTGCTTTTGACAATGATTTTAACAGTTTGAAGTTCCTTTTTGGTGACTTTTTACGAATTTAGTTTTTATGAGATATAACATTAGACTTGAAAATACACACAGTCAAAGTTTAGGACAACCCATACAAAAATGCATTAACCTGAAGAAAACCAAACTTAAACCAACTAATTATGTCAACTTATGCTTATTTTCAACGTGTAGCCTTACTGTCTTGGTTAAACAGCTATTTGACTACATTTACATGATTTGAAATGCTAACAGTCTAGGCCTAACATTTAGTATGTTCTCCTTTATTTCTGATTACTTAGCCTGGCTTGTTTACTTTGCTTTACAGACAAAATGTCATACGAGACCTGCCATTGTAAAAAAAAATCAATTCAAATGGGCAGAGCACTACACTGATGTTATGCACCGCTGTAAAAACATGTTAAGTAAGTATTCAGTGAGATAATGTAATGCAGGCTCAGTGACAGAAATACAATAAAATTGCAGGTGGTCTTAAACTTTTGCAAATGACTGTAGCTCTTGAAATGTAATTTTGGCAAAAATATCTTTTAAGTTTTTGCAGGCGTACAGCAATGCTTTAGCATCAGTGCTTTAGCATGAAACACGTTTCAGCAGAGACCCGAAAGAACAAAAATACTTATCTTTGCTAAACCTCTGTTGATCACACTGTGTTAATTTATTTTTATACGCCTGCAAAAACTTAAATATTCAGCATCCAAACTGACAGGGCTAAACCGCACACGTTAAACCCTAGCTACTGGTTCCTATATAATAGGGACGGGGATCAGTCAGGAAAACGCACATGTAGACAAAGCGTGACGTCTTGATGCTACAGGTCTATTATTGCTTGGTTGGAGTGGAAATAGCCCTAGTGTATTTGAAAAATGCCTAAAGCCTCTACAACATATCCCCAAAGTAACCTTTATTTCATTTTATTGATTTCTTGCAAACAAATCGGCAGAAATGGTTGCTTTTGTCATAAAATGAAAGCTGATTGTGTTTCACTTTCAATGAAAAGTGCACGTGATGTTCATGTTGCGTTGCGGGTCTATTTTAAATATCGTAACACAACTATTTTTTGATATGTGCAATGGAAGTTTACACAGTTAAATATCTTGCAAGTGTATGGAATTGCTGAATTTGAATCCTAAATTATCACAACGCTTTCTAAGTTCTTCATTCCTTTTGGGCTTCAAATTAATAATAATTAATAAATTAATTTTGGAAGGCAATCATTACTTAATCAGTTATGCAGTTTCAGAGTGTAATAATATTTTAGGAAACAACTTCGGGAGAACTTGTACAGTATACCAACGAGACAATGTAACAAGGCGCTAATCTCAGTTCGTAACCACTTTCCACAGTGGAGCCTTCAGGAGTTTCTAGAGTAACTGTTTGCGATCATTTTGACACAAATTTTGCAAAAATTTACTGGTCAGCCAAATATGTATATTTCACCTCGATGCTCAATGTACGCGGGCTGGCACACCTTGCCTTGAAATTGGAATGACTGAAACAACAAAACTTTAATTCTGATTGAGTTCAAACTTCACAATTGGATGGAGTATATTTACATGCACATCAAACAAATCGAACGAGGGAAGGGGGCGAAATTGTTAAACGGACAAAATAATCCAGCTCTTGCAATGTTAACATAATACAACTGACGCTTTTTCATTTCAGTATCCTAACTCTTTGAGCCTTTCTGAAGATCTCGAGTGTTCTTTCTTATAACTAATTACATTTTTTTGAACTTAACGTTTGAATTTTGTTGAATCGCAAATGTATTAGATTGGCTTTAAGGATTAATAAAGTAGTGAATTGCAATTGAGTTAATAGGTAATGATATCTATTTAAAAAATATTAAAGTGCGTACAAATAGCATTTTGATGCTGTGTTAAATCCTATTGGACGGAACAAATAAAGCACTTATCTGGAATGATAAAAAATATCAGGCTTTTCTTCGATATCAAAAACAATAATTTCTGACAATTACTTTGGACAAAAATTAAATGTTACTTTTGGTTTTTTTTTGGGGGGGACACAATGTACAGCTTGCGGTTAAATGGGCATTTTCTCCTGCCGAAGCCAAGTAACTAGAACAAGATTTTGCATCTTCCCTCACCTGTATTTAAACTGAATAAAAGGGCATTTCTCATGCGTGTCCAGAATCTCCACTACATCACCATTTCGTTAGCGGTAAAAGCCTCCTGGAGTCGTGAACACGATTTTGTAGGTCCGGCCCACCACACTTCGTCGATCAGCAAAGCTTTGGGATTTACCTCCTAGCTGTTACGGTACAGTTATGACATAATCACACAACGAATGGAACCATCGAAAAGGACTCGATACAATAGTCAGAGGGCAGGTAAGATTATGCTACCACTGAGAAAAAATTCATTTCTGTTTGTCTTCGAATCTAAAGATTCATCTTTCAGAAGACAACAACTGTATGAATATCCACCGAATCTGACTTGCCCACTATCATTAATGAATGAAATGTTTACTTTTCACGCAAAGAGCTACTATTAGAAGCTCGTCATGAGAAGCCCCCTTACATCGGTGGCACAAAATAGGGGTAAAGGAGTTCGGTCGAATTGGCTTGTGTGCATTAAGGAGAAAGAAGTTGTTTGAATTCTGGACTACTGGGGTTACCATAGTTTTTAGTTTAATTTGTATTTATTTATAGTTTTATTGAATTTTTCTTGTCAGAAAATAGCAGTTTTGAAAGGGTACAGTTATATTAGTCCCTGCAGGAATTTGCAGCAGATATGATGAGTGACAGGAAAATACACTCACTTTAAAAGGCATTATCGACCTCTGAAGACCTTGCTTATTAGTGTGGCACATAATATACCTTATACATAAAGTAATTGAATGACTGCCAAAGCGGACTTGTCCTGTACAACCTCTCTTATCAACAGCAGTTGAAAGTCACATCTTGTGACAGCGTACATTCTGAGGCCTTCTCCAGAGCCAATACAATTTCTCACCAGTTGTCCTCAGGAACACACTCGAAGACACTTTGTTGGGTAACAAGCAGTATTTAGTCTCTCGGGGCCACAGATTCGTTGCTGCCAACGTCTTGGTAAATCCATATAAACCCGACAAAATTGGTGTTCCTGTGATAATTATTTAAAAGTAAATTAATGGAATGAACAATTTAAGTTTTCTTTTCCATACACAAGTTTCGTTTCTCTTGTGGCCTACACAAATACTAATTAATTGTAAGTAGCCTACACGTAATAAGTTCATTACTGTGACTTAAATCTTATAAGGTGGGCAATACTGCATCTATTTGGATACGATCACTGGCTATACGTGTATCATGGTAAACGGGTTTGTATCTTCAGACTAGGAAACAAAGCTACTGTAAATCAGGAGGTACTGCTAAAATAGAGCTCCAACTGCTTGACATGCACAGGAACTGCATTGTGGAGGTTTCAGGTTCACATCAATGGAGTAATTTCTTTATTCGTCCTTAATTAAAAGCAACCCCAATAAGAATGAAGTATATGGAAGGGGTTTTTATGAGTACGGACACAGTGTTTACCTTTTGTGTAAGTCTGTTCCAATTTCTCCCGGAAACCGGCCATGTCAATGGAGTAGTATGTACTTCATATAAGGCTATATTCTCGAAACAATCCCGACGAAACCCATGGAAAATTCTTCGCGGAGTTCATCAGCTCGGATTGGATTTGGCGTAAGGGCGGCATTCAAATCGCTCCAAATCTCGTCTGACATCGCGAAATCTGGGGTGATCCTGCCCTTTGTGATGCCATCCAGCATGGTCAGCCAGTTGTCCTCGATCAGTTTCATGGCCCGGAACGTTTGCCGTAGAAAAGGCCGAGGTGCTTGTCGAGGATGGCAAAGAGAAGGTGGACATTTGCCTCGAAATCGTTGGAAAGCTGGAATCCCGCTGACGGCGTGTGGCTCATGTCCATTTTGTCCTATGACAGACAGGAGTGGGCCTAAGTAGTAAGTTTCAACGTTCCAGTTGACTAAACACAGTTCATACAAACTACAACTGATTGGCCGGTTCTGCATTATGAGAAAAAAAATACAACAAATATCTTATCACTAACCGCCATACTCAGCAAGGCCGCGCGCCTGGCAGAAATTTACCCACAATGCTCTGCACATTATTTGCCATGACCACGTGTCACGTATTTCCTTTACTAAAATTTGTGCAAGGCCATCAGCCCCCCCGCGACAAGCGAACATGAATTGTTTTAAAAGCTTGAGTGTATAGACGTCACCCAGGACATGCGTACTCTTGCGAACCGTGATTGGCAAACCGTGGCTGGTCTTTTTAATCTACTGAAATGATTCTGTTGGCGCGCTTGCGCAGTTGCAGTGCCGTAACGATAGAACGCCACGGCGTTCTGTATAAGGGTCATTTTGAAAACATGCTAGTGACTTAAAAAAATGCGTAGGCAGGGAGCAACTGAGTGTTGCATGTGAACAACAAGCACACACACACCCACACCCCCACACACAAACATGTATCTCATTGTGTGTACAGACACGGCTGGAAATACTCGTACATCAACGATGTTATTCGAATGTGGACGGGACGAGTGAGAAATATTTCGGCTTTTTTAAAAAAACGGAGGAATTCATCCAGTTTAGGTCAAGTAGACATTTGGTGACACCGGACCTTTGATTCTAAGAGATTAGTCGGAATCATTGGATCTGGTATCCCAACTGTCCGTGTGCCCTAGACACCACCTCGCAGTTTGTTTCAAAGAGTGGTGACAGTTATGGCGCAACTCTGTCTATGCACAAGTCTGGACAGATGTACATCTTATATTCATACTTACACCCCTTAACCTTCCAACACTTTTAGCTTTTGTACTTTTTCTCCCTTTTTTAATAATACTGGATACATTTTTTTGAAAATAAAAAAACTACCTCAAAGTCAGTCTCATTTGTTTTCTCATCACGACGGTCAATAGGCAGTCTCCCTACTCGCCACCCCTGGGATTTACTCCCCTAGTCTCCATCGTCCTTGTAGGGATATTCTTCACAGTACTTTAAGAAGGCCTCATGGTATTGCAAGCTACAGCGTCTCTGCTTCTTTGTGTAACCAATCGAATTCCGCATATTCCGAATTCATTTGATTAAACCACTGCCACACACAAGTCCCTGGAGTAAAAGCGTTCCCTGTATGTGGTCATAGGAATTCCTTTCTTGACAAAGCCTCAAAGAACAAGCATAATTTCGGTGCTTAAGTCGAACGTTAGGGCGTGGTGCCGTGCTCTCTTTCCCTTCTTGCCTTTCCTAAGCAAACCATAGTATATATATTTTTTTGCAGCGGTGAGCCCTGGCTGGTGGCCGAAAACCGACGGCATTTTGGTCATGCGGGAACTGTCGAGGTAAGAAATGTTTAGATATGTCCTACGTATGTGATTTTTAATGTGTCCGAGGTAGAATGCTTTATTGCACATTTAGCATTTAGGTGTATAATGTCTGCTGCCACTAAAGAGACCGGGAAATATGTGTCCATATACCGACCCGTCAGACACACTTATGTTCGCACAGCGTTGCCGGTTTATCAATTTAGTTAACACATGTGATTGGGATATTGTTTTGGGGGTGGTGCATGATAGGGGAGCCATGTTCTAGTCCCGTCTCCTGCGATTACGGCTTCGAAGTCTGATTTAAGAGTCAGCGGTGAAGAGCAGTAGCCAGTGTTCGATACTTATGAGCGCCGTAGCTTCACAAGGAGACGCCGCGTGTTGCCCGCGTAGTGTGCAACATGAACTGTTGAAATATTTCTTGTAAGGGTTTTCCTGAATATATCCCACAAGTTTATTTGCAAAGGACGTTAGCAATGATATACATGATAAAGCCCAAAGTGCAAAAGTATGTTTTTTAAGTGATTTGAAGTCATTTTGGAAAGAGTTCCATCATATACACCACCACCGCCCTCGCCGCCCTCGCCGCCGTCGCCGCCACCGCCATCGATCATAAGAAAGTGATACCATTTCTTAAATTGTGAATTTAGGAAAGAAAATTCTGAAGCATTTACTTACAAAACACTTTTTTTCAGGCAAGTTGAGGAAGAAAACATACGTGGGCAAATACAATACCTTTTGCAAATTACCTTATGCAGATTTAAGAACTTTGGGGCTATTTATTCATCTAACTTATCACATTATGTATAAATACTGTATATGTGCTGAAAGGTTTCCTTTGACATACGATTTCTGCTAAACGAGAGTAAGTGCTCTTCTAGTTTGTATTTTTGTGCTATTTTCGTTTTCCTCTCACCTTACAGTCGCGGTATGACGGCTTACTTTATGCGACCTGAAGAAGTCTATACATGTAAGTATTCCAAATGCCTCCGAAGCAGCACATCTTCCTCTGTCCATTGATGTAAGTTTCACCTCTTTATTTGCTGTAGTTAGGGAAATATCTGCTTTATATTTCTGGGCAATTCTCCCCTTGTCCCATAACTGGACTGGCAAAGATGGCACCCTATTTTGGTGGCATCGAAAAGGGCAAATCGTTCCCTCCCTACAGATGTAGGTTTCATATCCATATTTGATTGAGTTCGGAAAACAAATTACAGAAGATACAGTTGTTGCCCTTATTCTTCCTAATTTTGTGCGATTTTCCTTTTGTCCACATTTTACAGGATCAGATCCCGTGCAATGATGGCTCCCTACTTTTAAGCATAAAAAAAATCGGCGTATGGTCCAGTCCTTGCAATTGTGGTGACATCTGAAAGGGCACATGTTCCTCTATTTATTCATGTAAGTGTCTTTTCCATATTTGGTGGATGAATGTTCGAGTTCTTAACAAAGTGCCTCCTATTTATGCAGTAGTATCCATATTTGCAGTAGTTAGGGAAACATCTGGAAAAAAATGTGCGAGTCTAGTCCAGCTGCTTTATGTTTTAGCGTAATTCTGACTTTGCGCTGGTCCTGTTCCCGCACAGAGAATGCTTTATATATTCGAGCATAAAAGGTCTAAAACGTATCTAAATCTTGCAATCTTGGTGTCATCTGAAAGGGCACATGTTCCTCCAATTATTTGAATAAGTTTTATATTCATTTTTGCAGTAGTTGGGGAAATATGTGGAAAAGAAAGTGTGAGTGATTGTCCAAGTGTCCTCCTATTTTTGCGTAATACTGGCCTTGTCTGCGCCATACCGGTCTTTTTCCCACATGGAGAATGCTTCATATACTTAAGCCTTAAAGGTCTGAAAATTATCTAAACCTTGCAATTTTGATGTTCCTCTATCTATTTATATAAGTTTCATATCCATATTTGCAGTAGTTCTTTATCTAAATCTTGCAATCTTGGTTTTAACTCAAAGGGAACATTTTCCTCTATCTATTCATATGAGTTTTATATCCATATTTGCAGTAGTTTTATAAATATCTGCAAATGAATCAGACTTTGCGCTATGCCGGGTCCTGTTTTCGAAGTTCACAGAAAATGACCCATATATTCGTAAATAAAACGTGTAAAATAATCTAAATCTTGCAATCCTGGTGTCATCCGGAAGGGCACATGTTCCTCTATCTATTCCTATATGTTTCATACATATGTTTGCAGTAGTTTTTGAAATATCTGCAAAGGGAAGTGCTAGTTGTTGTCGAACTGCTTGATTTTTTGCTTAATTCTGACTTTGAGCTATGCCGGGTTCTGTTTTGCACAGAAAATGCTCCATATATTCGAACATAAAAGGTCTGAAAATTATCTAAATCTTCAATCTTAGTGTCATCTGAAAGGGCACACGTTAGTTTATCTATGCATATGTGTTTCATATCCATACTTGCAGTAGTTATTAAATTATCAGCAAAAGGAAGTGACACTTCTTGTCTAACTGCTTTATGATTTTGCGTAATTTCTGACTTTGAGCTATGCCGAGTCCTGTTTCGCACAGAGAATGCTCCATATATTCGAGAATAAAAGGTCTCAAAATTATCTGAATCTATCAATCTTGGTGTCATCTAAAAAAGCACATGTTCCTCCATCTATTCATATAAGTTTCATACACATATTTACAGTAGTTAGGAAAATATCTAAATAATATTTAAAGGAAGTTCGAGTTCTTGTAAAACTGCCCTCTATTTTTGTGTAATTCTGGCTTTGTCTTTGCTATAATGGCCCTATTCCCGCACAGAGAATGCTCCAGATATTTGAGCATAGGCCTAAAAGGTCTAAAAATTATTTAAATCCTGCAATCAATTTATGCTGCTTGAGAGATTCAAAGCTGAGTCACTCTGCTGCACTTTTGCATTGTATGGTGTACTAAGTTGCACAACCATTACGGCATTGAATATTGAATTCCATTGGTTGATTGGCAAAGTCGTGATCAGTTGCAGTCACCTTGACATCTGCAGTTCACAAACATGTATTGGCAGTTTGTAGCTGTTGGAATTTGCCAACCTCCGCTCCGTAGTTGGAAGGTTTTCATAGGTGTCATTCCATGAAGTTCGGGCACACTTTAGCAAGATTTAGAACAATGTCAATTTAGAATCCACATGCAGGGAAAAAAGATGTTTATTTTCACTGATGTCACAAACTGTGCTCGGACTTCGTGGATTGACCCATATGGAGCTAAATATGCTTTTAATACTGGGAATGCGTGTACTATATAAGTCGTGTTCATTAGTCAGAACCTATGGGTTGTCTCTCAAACCGCTAATGTACCATTCATGTAACTGATGAAACTATGCGCTTTCCATTATTGGAAACTGTAAATTAAATGTTGGAATGTGTTCCTGATACTTTTGAATGAACTGGTTTCATCCTGCTAAACATGATGTCATATAGTTTGGAGGAATTATTTCATAAATTTATAGAATGCCTCCATCGATTCTTCCGACTTCTGTTCTAAGTGAACAAACTTATGGTACAGTGACTAATATACATGTACATGTATTTATGAAATTGTTGTATTTGTTTTGCAGATATCTTGCATATCACTTATTGACTGTCGTTTTTTAATGTCTGATCTAAATGATTCACCTGTAAGAATAATTCAATCTTTCGCATAAGCATTACTGCACATATAGAACTCCAGGTCAATACTAACTGGGACAGAAATAAAAGCAAATACATGTATGTGTGCCAGGATTCTTGTGCCACCACATTCCTGTTCCTTTTGTTGTGTTAATTTCCCCTTCGTTTACAAACATGGCGTAGTCGGCAGGATGCTTGTGGTGTGGCACTAATAAGGAATCCTTGGTTGAGGAAAAACACGCTTATTATTTTAGAAATACAAACGACAGTCAATATTCTAATTCTGCTGCTGAGGGTGAAGAGCTCTGGGAGTTGCTGTCGTTGGCGCTCAAAGATCTATGAAGTCACGATACCAGTGATGGACCACTACTAAGAGATTCCACCTTCACTGGTCTACTTTGACTTTTGTTTCTACCTTGACAAGTGGATTGAGGCCTCACTGTGTCGTGTTGTACCTTCGATCCCCGTGGAGGAGTCATCCCTGGAAGCTAATTTTGAGTGGACCGTACTGGAAACCGTTGTGTTTTCGTCGAACATCAAGTCGTTGACGAATCTCGATGTGGTATTTCTATAAAGGAAAATATTCTAATGCTGTAGTGTGGTAACAATTTTAAATGAGCAAGTTAATACTGCTGGTTTATATATCCAAATCTTGAATTTTAAATGACGCAGTGTGAAGTTTCCACCTTTCAGACAAGAGCATGTTGAATAGCTGCACATTAAATCCAAACTTGTAAGGTATATTGTACATTTAACTCTCGAAGTACACCAAATTGAGCATATGCACTTGGCAATTTGTAGCTACACTTTGGGAAAGTGTTGACACTGAATTGTATCCTGACTGGAGTAAGTCTTACTGACAGAGTTGTAGTCTTATTTTTCTTTTGACTGCAGACCTTGAAGTACTACCGCGCAGCTGACAACGACATCTGCCAATCAATCCTCCCTTCGTAATACATCACTTTGCATCTTGGTGGAAGAATAGCGGCAGAAATTTCAGTTAAGGTATCGTTGCATACGAATTTCGCTTTTGAATAGTTGCTAGAAGCGACGTGTATTAACACCTCTCTCCCCATAACCAGCAGGTAAATTAATTTCAACAAGACCGACAAGCCTAAACCCTATTATCAGTCTGCAGCTTAACCCACTTTCTTACTTCTTTCTAGCCAAAAGAAACTCTCCACTTTTTCAGGGTTGGCTGAAGCTAAATTAGAAGACTGGATAAGTGATATGAAATCTGCTGTAGGGACTAGACATGTCTCAGAACTAGAAAAGGTTGACTCTGTATATCACCTTAGTGGGCCGGTGAGAGATGAAGTTTGGCATCGAGGGCGAGAATCGTTCGATGTGATCTTTTCCATACTTAGATATACTTTTGGTGTGCAAGGATCGTTTGTACAACTGCAGAGAGCTTTTTTAAAAGGAAGCATAAGGATGGAGAAAAGTTAAGGGATTTTTCTCACGGCCTGCTGGTCTTGTTTGAAAGGGCTAAACGCAAATGCTCCTCTCTTCATGGATAATAAAGAAAATCTCAATGATCAATTTGCTGAAGGTGTCACGAATACCACCCTGTGTACGCACTTGAAGAAGTGTATTAGGGAAGACCCCGATATAGATTTTCTACACTTCGTACAAAAGCCATTGAATGGGCAGAAGAGTTGCTGTTACCCTTAGAAAACCAAAGTAAGGTTGTTGTTCACTCTTAGGCTGCTCAAGCTAAGGTAGACAATGCTGCCATTTTATACCTATTGCAGAAACAACAAAAACAGATTGATGAGTTGACAAGAACAGTTCAACATTTACTTTCTGTAGGGCAAGCATCTAAAACAAGCATTTCTAAATCAAGAAGTAACATACCCAAGTGCACTTTCTGCAAACGAGATGGTCACACTAAGGATAAATGTTATCAGCTAAAACAAAATAAGGCCGAGGAAACAATGAAGAATTGAAAAAGAAATCTTCAGCTCAGGAAAACAAACCTCTCTCGTTGACACCAGTCCTGTTCCGGCATAGAGAATGCTTCATATATTCCAGCATAAAAGGTCCACTAGGAAATTAGGAAAATAACTTCAAAAGGAAGTTCGAGTTCTTCTCCAACTGCCTCCTATTTTTGCGTAATTCTGGCATTTTCTGCGCTATATCAGTCCTGTTCCGCACGGAGAATGCTTCATATATTCGAGCATAAAAGGTCTAAAAATTCTCTAAATCTTTCAATGTTGGTGTAATGTGAAAGGGAACGTGTTCTTCCATCTATTCATATAAGTTTAATATCCATATTTGCAGTAGTTAGAAAAATATCTTCAAAAGAAAGTGCGAGTTTTCTTCTGACTGCTTGAAAAGTGCGTGATTCTGGCTTTACCTGCGCTATACCGGTTCAGTTCCGCTACATACATGCGAGCATAAAAGGTCTACAAATTATTTAAAT